TCTCCAACCCATTTAGTTTCCTGAATGCACAAAATATTTATCTTCCTATGAATTATAATATCTATTAATTCCATTAATTTTCCTGTAAGGAAACCTATATTCCAAGTTCATATCCTAATTTTAGTATCATGGACTAGCTTCTTTGCCCACATCCGTCTTTGATGTGGGAACCCTTGAAAAATTAGTTAATAAATTTTATTAGTAAGGATTGAAGCATTCTGAATGAATAAGAAAAATTATTTGGAAAAAATAGTAAATGGTGATTTAGAAAAACTAATTAAAACCTTGAAAAATTAGTTAATAAATTTTATTAGTAAGGATTGAAGCATTCTGAATGAATAAGAAAAATTATTTGGAAAAAATAGTAAATGGTGATTTAGAAAAACTAATTAAAAATATTTGTATGTATTTTCAACTATTTAGAAATATTATTTTGAAAAATTGGCAATGATTTAGAATGCTCAGTAAGAAAAAAGAGTTATATTTTAATATTTTAGTATTTAGGTGTGTAGTGATATGTTAACTAATAGTTAGTTAATTAGTAGTGATGTTGCTAATTACTTAGTAGTTATATTAATTAATTGGTTAATTGGTAATCTTAATTAGTTAGTTAGTGGTGATGTAAATTAATTAGGTATTATGTATTCACATGACCCGGTTAGGAAAGTAGGTATATTAGATTTGACTTATATTAAGAAAGGTAAAGATAGACCTAAAAAGGCTTGGTTAGAAAATATTAAAAATGACCTTATTTGTTAGATTTAAATGAGAATTTAACTTTTAATATGACACAATGGAGAAAAAGGATTCATGTAGCCAATCGCACATAGTGGGATAAAGGCTTGATGTTGTTGTTGTTATGTATTTAGAAAAATTATTCAATGTTAGTCTTTTTTCTTGTTAAGCTATTAGTTGTGGAGACATGAACAACATATATTAGTGTCAAAAACACATTATTTTGTCTTGTACAATTCCACATTTTAATTTTATCAAAATTAAAAATTAGATAGCATTTAATTTTATCTTTCTATATGTGTAGCTTAATAACATAGCATGGATATCAGAACTCAATGGTCTTGGATATATATTAGACTTTCCTTGGACAAAAAGATTAACACAAACTTGTTAGTAGAGAGCTTTTCATTGCTATAGAATGCAACAACACATTTTCATTTTGAAGGAAAAAATATGTCAATTTGTTCTAAGCATAAGAATCAAGCTTATTGAATACTAGCTAAAGTAATTGTAGATTTGCATCGAAGAAGAATTCAACTGGATTACTGGTTTTAGACATAATATAACGAGTGCAAGCCACTAATTGACACTCACTGTGCTTTGATTAGTTATGAATAATAAAATAAAGAACAAACAAAACGGTATGAAGAAATGATATTCAATGTCGTTGGCCCACAATTTGAAGAAAATACTAAAAACTTCCTAATGGTAAGTCTTAACATTTTTACATTTTCACTACAAGCTGCACAACTATCGTGGTAAGGTTACACTAATCACTCAGAAATCTCTTGTAGTTATAAAGCTAAGCACAAAAATAGATTTTAATGTTCGCTCATTAGTGTTTCAAATCAGTTTCTACGGCTGTTGATGTAGACCAATCCAAAAAATATTTTTGTACATATTGATTATTATATGACCAAGAAATTTGTCAAAATTAGGACTAAATGCACAAAACATAGGTTGTTGTGCCAACAAATATGGGTTGTATTACAAGAATGGCATGGCTATGTAAATATTGTGGATCAACTACGTATGAAGCCTAAATAGAAAAACAGCATGAATAAAAGGGGTTTTATAGTTCCATAATTAAAAAATACTATTTGCTTCTATAAGGTCTAATGGGTATATAAGATGGTATTAAAAGAGAAGAGAACAATGTGTATTATGTAATCCATCAAATATTGAAGTATGAAAGAACTTTGGTCGTCCATTTTACAGAGTTTACTTCAAAGCTAAGAAATGTTAGAGTTGACATATGTTGATAGTTTTATATCATATATCTAGACTGTCTCACTATAATCTTGCTGGATAGTAAGAATTACACTATATAATCTCCCTCCTGAGATGTGCATAATAACTCCATAAATATTTCTTAAGCTAATACCTCTCTGTCCGCACAATCTAAAGGAAAACTAGATGTGTACCTACAGCTTCTAGTAGATAAATTAAAAATACTATTGGAAGACGTAATTACATCACATTTTTCGAAAGCAAAATTTATAATGTACAATGCTTAGAACTTCAGAGCTTTAGGAGCTTAAAGAGATCAATTATAGAAGGATTCATAGATTAGATGCATAATATAGTTGCATTGAGTTATTAGAGAAATTATTAAATGCATCATTATTGTTGCCCAGTGCATCTGATGGTTGGCGATCTTAGGCTAGGTCGGTTAATTAGTCATCTTAAAGCAGATAATTGCTTCAACTAAGACTCAAAAGCATTGCAAAAAATCAATTTAAAAATGGGATCTATTGAATGGTTCACAATAATGCATTGTAGCGTAAGGCAATGGTTGATGTTAACTTGATTAAATTAATCAAGTGTCCTAGCTAAGTTGATGGATGATCAATATAAAAGGAGAAATTGATGGTCCTTTAATGAGTAATAGCTTACCTGCTATCATATTTATGCCAAGCTTGAAACATTGTTGATTGTTCAATGGCTCTCTCATCATTTTATTAAATGATGCCTATGTTATATAGAGGTTCAAGTTCATATAATAATATGATAAATCATTATGAACAAAAAGATGATTTTTTGCTCAAATATTTCCTACAACTGTTGGTGAAGTAAACTACACAGTGAACACAAACAAAAAATAGAAAATGCAACAGAAATAAAGAACATACGTATTTAATGTGAAAAAAATCAAAACCGGAAAAAATCATAGAGCCACATCACACCAAGAAATCCACTATGAAAATTGGGAGAAATAGTACATATCTCTCCTCTCTCTCAATCTTTATCTTTCTACACCCTTGCACCATTCTCACACAAAAAAAAACAAAGATATACATAGTGGATTGAGGTTCAAGGCAACCGTACAAGCGGAGGGAGGACCTCCAGCGAGCTCGACATACTGAATTGAGGTTCGAGGCAACCGTACAACCCAATTGATCAACACAATCAGATTCCACACAAAACTAACAACAAACCCATGCTTTATCCCTCATGCTTTCCACCATACCCAAACTAATTCTATAATTTTAAAGCATCTAAGTAGACTGCAACATAAATAAGAATATTATAACAAATGTAAGGAAATTTTGGGAAGATAAATTATAGAATGACTATGTTAGAGAAAAGTTTGGAGCGATATTTACTAAAGTGGTTTGAACATGTATGACAAAGGGTAGAAAATATGCCTGCTAGAAAAATTGATAAAATTTGTGTCAAATGACCACGGAGAAAAATGGATATAAATTGTTCAAATGAAATGAATAGAAAATAAGAATTCATAATGCCCTTGCAAATTAGCTGGGTTAAGATAAATGGTGATTTCAAGATGATGGCGATGGAGATATAGCCAACTGAACTGGCATACGGTGTAAATCAATAATATGAACAATGATATGAATGGAAGCTCAACTGGTGGCTAAGGGAAGTCTAAAATCAAAAAAGTGGTCGTATATATAAAATTAAAATTTTCAGATTGCTACAGAAATTCATAAGAGCCAAGAAAAGCTGCAAACGTAAAGTCTCACGTGCAATGCTTTAGATTCCAGCTGATGTCTTTTCGATGTCCTGACACCTTCATCAAAGAAAACAGCTTCCCGGTCATACCTATATGATGAGACAATGAAAATGACCTAAGCGATTAAATTAAAAATAAACTTTGTTCAAAAACAAACAATAACAACCAATAGAGAGCCATCATTAAGTGCATGTGCTCCCAAATAACTTAGGGAATATGATAAAAATGAAATCCTTCATAGAAAATGAAAAAATAATTTTAATTAGCAACGACCAGTGGACTCCTTCCCGCTTGAAATTCAAAAGAGAAAGCTAAATTAGGCCGAAAAGATAAAACGGGTCTAATTTTCAAACTCAGTTACAACGTAATCAAATTATGTTCTGTTAGATCCTCAAACATACGAGTTAACAAGGACTGCTGCAAGATTTCGGTTTGACCCAAAAGACCAAAAGTGTAGAGTCACCTTAAGTGAGGATCACAGGCTCAGTACAATTTCCATCAGCATCAACAAAGAAAAACTGGAGGACTTACTCCTCAAAAAAAGAATCAAGGATGGAGCTAACTGTCTTCCCAAAGCCTGGTACAGGACCAGATCTAACGGCCTCCACCAGTTCCAGCCATTGCTAATCCAAATACAGATCATGGTTTAAGATCAGTGATTTTTATGTTGGTAACAGTTCAGAATCTCACCAAAGAAAGATACCTTATTGGAAGTCAAAGAACTCAACTTTTCATTTGCAATCTCCTCACATCGAACAGTTGCAACCATTACCTACAAAGTATGGAAAATAAAAGAAAATTAATAGGACTCTACAGAAAAATATTTATCTGTTCAAGAAGTTAGGACGCTGCCTTGTGAGCAGGAAGATCAAGGTCCTTATTTTCTCGTATAGTTTTCCAAATCTTTTGTACGCTGAAAGAAAATGCTGAAGCAGGGACAACACCTCCTCTATCACCTGCAAGGCCACCTGGGGCAACTGAATTGAAAAAACGTTGCCTCAGTTGTGCAACCTGCATTAGAAAGATCAAAAAAAAATCCCAAGTAAAGCTTTCAGAATTTAAATATATTGAAACAGACCTCCATAAGGAGCTATTCAAATAAGAATTTAAATTAAATAATATAATAACACTGGTGCATACATTTTGATATACGAAAACCATAAGAACAACAAAAGACAAAACAGACAAGCTAGATTAACAATTTTCTTCAATGATTACCTGCTCTTTGAATTGCTCTTTTTTCTCTTCATAACTGGGCAAAGCAACGACCTCTACCTTTTATCAAAAACATGTGTTACAATACAGGTGAAAGCATGTATTTAGCAAGACTACCCCTCTTACATTAAAAAAATCATGTAATGGCAGTGACTTGTGAGCCTGGGTTTTAGAAACGGTATCCCATATCTGCAGAAAGGAATCATGCGTAATAAGATCACTAGTAAAATTCCAAGAGGAAGATTTTGACAAAACAACAATAAATTTCATTTTATAAATCAAAACATATATCACACTTTTTGGATGTCTTCCCTCAAAATTGGCTCTAAATATTCTAATGGAGTCTGCAAATAAGCTAATGAAAAGTTAGGCATGCAAAATCACACAAGAAATAGTCAACACACTACAAGATATCCTCAAAAGCAAGTTGCAAACCTTTGTTTTGTCACGAATAACAAATAGCAAAGTTGTCTTGCGAGGACTGAACAATCGTAACATGACCTACAACAGGTAAGATGGTTTGCATAGAAAATTAAAGAAATTTGTGATTGTACGATAATAAATAATAAATAAACAAAAAAATACCTGAAAAACTGTCCTTAGTAGAGGCTTGTTAGAAGCGTGCTCCCGACCAATATCATGACACCAACTAGGTAATATAATTGTTAAATCATAATTTTGTGAACTAAAATCATGCCATTCGAAAGAAAGTTGAGCAAAAAACAAGGATGAGACTCACATGTTTACAAGAACAACGTCTGAAATTGCTAGAGCAAAAAGAGCACTTTGCTTCTCAAATACAGTATCATCCTGAGAATTGGAATTACTGGAGCTACTCCAACCTTTTCACGTATATGCTCATTTCGTATCATATCTCTAAGGGTAAAGCCACTCATCCACCTGAGCATCCTTATCTCTGTCACACTTAACTTAGTATTATGCTTCTCTTTTAATGGCCAACATTCGGCACCATAAAGCATTGCAGGCCTCACTACCATCTTATAGAATTTTCCCTTAAGTTTGAGGGGTACATTTCTATCACATAACAAGCCCGATGCATTCCTCCACTTCAACCATCCAACTTGAATTCTGCTGATAATATCCCCATCTATTTCACCATCACTCTGAACAATAGATCCAATATATCTAAAACGTGTACTCTTATTAATGACTTGATCGCCCAAAGTCACAATCCCCTCTCTAGGTCTATTACTACTAAAATTACACTCCAAATATTCCATTTTAGATCTACTCAAGCGAAAACCTTTAGACTCTAAGGTTGACCTCCATAATTCAAGTTTACCTTCAACTCCCTCTCTAGTCTTATCAACAAGAAGAATATCATCAGCAAAAAGCATACACCAAGGTACATCCTCTTGCAAATGTCTAGTGAGAACATCCATGACTGAAGCAAACTGGGTGTTGTTCATAGGGGTGTATAAAAAATAAGTAGAGATAGTTATACCAGACCTAAGAGATTAACAAAATCAAAACAGTATCCTAACTAGCAAGATTATGCTAGCTGTATTAATCACTATGGCTAGATAACCCTAGATCCATCATGTTACTAACTGTGTAGGGTTTAGGGAAGAAATAGGACCAGTGACACCAACAACTTAAGTTATAGTTTTGTGCGCTCCGAAAAATCGGGCCCCAGCCTCTCTGCGTTTCTTCATTAACAGGGTTAGTTTTAATGAATTAGGTTTCTGGGAAAATTTTGAGAAGGCAGGTTAAGTTTTAGATACGATACTACCAAGAGATTTTGCCCTCATTTTGCAAAGACTTTATGATCTGAGTTCTGGTTTCCTTTAGGCACAAGCTATAATTAATTACCTCTCCCAATAACCAGAGAGAACTTTCAATTAAAGCTAGTCGTTCAATGGGTCGCAATAATTACCTAAAGTATAATAGCAGTGATTTTTTGGGTTTGAATTTGGTTTGGATTTTGGAGTTTATAATTTAAAATTTACCACTATATACTTAAAGAGAGTAATGGGAGAATGATGACGGGCCTGATTAAGATCTCATGGTTCTGTTGACCCGAGCTCTCATGGTTCCTAGTCTACTTAGTCAAAGAACGTAGTCAACCCAACCTCATAAAAGGATCCTTATCAATAACTATAGGTTGCGTCGTCCAAGGTATCTTGTAGACCTGGGGTGGATGATTGTCTAAAGGGGTTGAATTTAAGTCAACCTTAGCTAACATATAGCTTCCTTCCTATCTTATGAGCATACCCTACAATTCATTACTCATAGAGCTTTCAATAATTAGGAACTATAAGGGCTTTGGTCGTGGTCGTAATATAGTGATGCGATTTTACGAAAAAAATCACCCAGTCATAGGGCGCGTACCACATCCCTGCTGGCGAGAAATCAACTGAAAATGAATTGTAGTAATACATCCAACAATATCTTTGCTCTTTATGAGATGAAGTTATTCTTGCGGAGTGTGGATGAGTTTTGATTTAAACAATATAGATGTTAGATTTTGAAATTTTAATAGGCTTTGAGAATTTAACCCTCCGGTTAAGATTATATTCAACGTAGCCATCATCTAGGTGTTTAAGCATTTTTAGCAAATCCACGAAACATTCCTAAATCTCACATTTAGGAGTTTGATGTAAATATCGATATGCATATAGAATGCTTTTCAGTGTAATTGTCAAACGAATTTAACCCATTAATTAAAGCTAATTCATATCTACATAATGCATTTTGTACATTATTTTTACTAGGGGTGTCAAAATCTGACACGACCTGAAATCTGACACGAACCTGACCCAAAAAATTTTGGGTTCGGATCAACCCGTTTGTCATACTGCCGGGTCGAGTTCTTAATTCCGACCCGTTTATAAAACCAACTTGGCAGGAACATCCTACAATAGGCGTGACCTATCTCATCAGCATCATCCCATTACTCGCATTAGCTTGTAACCCGATGAGCGCATCCGACGTCACTCACGGCCTCACTCGCGTTGTCGTGCTACTCGTCGTCACGTCTACGTTGCCACTGCCATCTAGTCGAGTCCATGTTGCCAATGCTGATGCACTGCCCGCGCTGTCGTTACTGTTGTCGTTGTCCTGTCCACACTGCAGCTGTCGCCGTCCTGCCTGCACTGCAGCTGCCGCCATCCCGCACGAACTGCAGCTGCTACCATGCCGCATCTTGCTAGTCAAGGGACCCGAATGACCAATTAGTCAGACCCTCTGTGCCGTTGCCTCAGCTGGCGGGTCAACCCAGTAACCCGCACAGGTCTAGCCGAGTTGACAATTCTAACCCACTTGCAAAACTGGGTAGGATTACTGTCAACACATTTGAATCTGGGTCAACTCGAGTTGGACCCGAACCAAACCCATCCACCCATTTTGACACCCCTAATCCCCACATAATGTAATTGACATTGTTATTGCATAATGCATTTTGCATGTTTCTCTTACATGATCCAATTTGCACATTGTATTTCAACATGTAATATTTAGAGTTTGAAAGTTACTTTGTGATATGTATGAATGATCTGAAAATATTTGAATTTGATGACTTGCGTAAAAAGATAATCTTTTAGAAACATGCGACAATTCATTATGAAATTAAATGACTTCGAATTCCTCCTAAGCTTTAGCATTAATCTTAAATTTATCATCACTTTCTATTAGTATTAGAACTCAAAAAAATTATATTTAGTTCTAATTTTCTAACATATTGGATGTTATTTTGTCTAGCACATAATAATTTATATAAATCATCCAATCTAAAACCTTCAAAAACATGTGTAGCAAGAAATCATTTGGAAATAAAATATTTTCATCTGATTAAAATGTTAAATTAGATGTATATGATTTTTTTAATTCGTTCTCTCTTTTTATTTAATCATGCGGTTGTCCATTGTCGTTAAAATTTCAGCAACCTCCCGACATCTCCTCTGTGTCGGAGGAGTCAGGTAGGCATTTATCTTTTGCTCTTTCCAACCAGATCAAATATACAATGGACGCAAGGTCTTCATGAAATTCATGTTCTTCCCAGCGTGATCAAAGATAGCCAGCGACTCAACTAAAACCAGACCATGGTTTTTAGAAAACCAGGGGCTAGCCCACAGTTTTCATCCGTGGTTTTACAAAAGTGGTAAACACATCATGTGCTGCCAGCTCAGATACAGACGCACCGAATAGATTCGGTTCTTTTATATAATAGAAGCGGGCCCACCATATGCTCCACTTATACAGCATCCATGAGTGATTTGTCTGTTAGATTGGCAATTAAATCTAATATGCCAGCTAACTCCTCATTTTTGCGTACACGTGGGAAAAGGTCTTTCCATACATTATTGTTTCCTCCTGATCGATTTTTACAGTACATCGTCTTATTTTCGTACATACGTAGTAAAATACATAACTCATTCATGACAGTGGAGACTTATTCCACTTCTAATCTTTTGGTTGCTCCCCTAAGTCGAGTGACGGCATCCAGACTACAGGGGTGATTGTTGGTTTCCCATAGTAGCTCTTTGTGGACATCATTCTTATGGAATGGTTTTGTCTTGTCTGGTCTATCCTTCCTGACCCATGCAAGCTTTGGGCCTGACTGAACTTTTGCATAAGGGTCGAGAGGTTGCTTTCTTTTAGGCTCTCGTTGACTTCTTCCTCCGTCCATTCCTGTAGATTTTTAATAATGAATTGAGTATATTCTTTTTCGTCAATACCTGCACATAAAACAAACGTTAGCCTTGAAAGAGTGTCTGCCAAGACATTATTTTTCCCGTCAATATGCTCAAAGTTGACGGTGATCCCCAGGCCATTAATGTAGTCAGTGAATGTCAACCACCGAACTCTGGATGGCTTATTTTGTGTTATCTTGTTGTAGAAAGTAATTTTTGCTTGGCAGTCTGTTCTTAGG